ATAGGGCGCTCTGGATTATGAAGCGCGCGGTCGTTTTTTGATGTGGTTGGAGGCTTAAGAGCGCGTCTAATAGCCCTGAAAGTACAGTACGTTAATTTTTGTGCTTGTGTATTTGTAAGATTATGTCAAGAAACCGGGATACTACATTTGATCATGTACACAGGGCTATGAGTGTCCTGGTTTCTCAGGCGCATGTATACACAGTATTCCGAATACTTACATAACCGGGATATGGCTAATAACCGGGAAACTGATGTTCATGTTAGGGATGGGCATGATTAGATGATTAATCAATAATTGATCATTAAGAATTTCATCGATTACGTTCATTTTCATCGACAAACAGAATGTAGGGGTCCGTACATGTGTCTCTCTGCACTCAGAATGAGCGAGACACAAACAGTCGGTCAGTCTGCAACGTACCAAAACACAAATGCTTATTTAACAATGACTTGTACAAGAAATTCCATGCTTTCCGTTCCGGTCGGGACAAGTGTGAGGCCATGTGCACAGTGTACAAAGCAGGCAGATATGTTTCAGTGTCCAGTGGAAAAAAGCTCACCAGAACACCAAAAACATGAAAAAGTTTTGCCAGGTGAGAGTCGTGCAATGTCGATGACGAGTCCCCACCTCCCTCCCCCCGTACGGTGTCCTGGTTTTGACAAACACAAATATGGTCACACTAACCTGTATTCCACTGAGTCGTGTCCTTTAATCCGACAGAAGTTGAACCGCATCAGCGACACAAGAGCTGTATTTTTTTTTCCTTTGCTTAGTTTATGCAAATTAGCGATGTGGTTTTAAGTTTCATTTCTGTGAGAGTTGTACAAAGCTTATAATCTCAAACGGGCTGATGTGGCTCTAGAGTGGTTACGGTTTATATGTCGTAAAGTTGAATTTATTCATGCAGATATAATAATGATGATAAATTGTAATATAAAAAACGTTCATGATTAATCGACCGTTAATTCTCCCGACGATCGATTAAGAAAATTTAATCGAATGCCAATCCCTACACAGCAAAAAGTGGAGTGTTAAAATTGACTCTCACAGAATCAACTTTAACATTTTCTTGGCGTTTATATGAGTCCAATCTGTTCTAGAGTTAATTTAACATTTTTGGAAATGTTCATTAAGTAACACTGGACCAAAGTTCCTGTTTAACCCCGAAATCCAGAGTTACATGAACGTTTTGAAAGTAAACGGATAAAAATTTGTGGAGTTATTCTGATTTAGTTAAACAACACACAGAGGTGTTTTATTTTATTTTTACTTTATTTTAGTTAATTTAAGATGAAATTATGTACAAAACTGGTCTTATCTCACAAGAGTTTGAAGTGGTGAATGGAGGAGCCAAATTAACACTAAGAGAAGTTGAATTAACCTCAACCACATCCACCCTGACAAATAACCTCAACTCAAACCCCCATTTAACTTTCAAATAGTTAAAATAACACTTTTGGTGTTAAAAACAACTCTGAAATATTTTACCCTAAAATTATAACCCTCCAGTTTTTGCTGTGTAGTTCATGTATACACACTTTATGTAGAACAAAGTAAATGTAAAGAAAAACATCGCGTACAAAGGCCTGTCTAAACTTTTAACTGGTGTCTTTTGAACGTTCACATTTTTAATTAAATCCCCCTATATGCTAACTAACCCATAAACATTACCCACCACATCGACGTTTCATGACTCAGCGCCCTTTCTTCAGCTTTAATAACCCGCGAGTACGCTAATATCAATTTGTAGCTTTGTAATATAATGTAGTGTTAGTAAAGCGCCCTAGCCCTCTCTTAAACATTGACCCAAACCCAATATACCCCTATGCAATCGCAATTTAGCAGCACGCGCCGCAATGCTAAGGCTATTAGGAAGTCAAAGTAGCGCCATAGCCAATTACCAGCGCCGGGGAGGGGAAGCAATTACGAATTAGAAACTTAGTGCCGCTTAGGTGCACCCTTGCCGCGCGCCCCGGTAAAAGCAGTCCATGATTGGCTGCCCCTGGAAATTACATTTAGGCAGATCGGCGGTGCCTGGTGGAGTTATGGGCAAACCTTAATGATAAACAAGACGCCGGTATATGGATGCAAATGGGAGCAGACAGCGAGAGGAGAGGGGACAGGCTGGGTGATGGATGACAGCTGAATATTATTGACATGAATGAGAAAGATAATAAACGCGGTAATGCGGTGAGCAAGGGTGCGCCGGAATATTTTGGGATGTGGTGGATGGGGTTGTGTTTGGGGTTTTGTTGAGAGAGCAGTGCCGGTGAATAAAATTTGAAGAGGGTCTAAATAATGCAAGCTATGGGTCGAATACTGTTTTTTTTATTGTTTGTTTGGTTTTTTTTTAAGTCAAAGGTACACTATTTTCTGGTAACTAACTTTCCTGGTGGAGGGTCCGTCACCGGTTTATCTCCAAACTGCACAAACTGAACCCATGCATCTGGAATGGGGGATTAAATTGGGCAGTCTGGGCACTGATTGGACAGGAGAAGGTGTGGAGTATTAGGAGTGAGTGATGAAGGCTGAGGAGCAGGTAAACTCTGGAAAAGCTGTGGGTAGACGGGAGCAAAATGAAGTCTTCCTGGCTGAATTTATTCTCCATAACAGATTTATTTTAAAGGTCCTATATCCTAGCCAGACTGGCGCCACCTAGTGTCTTCGCTCAATTTAATTTCTCTCCAGTGACTAGGTCAGGAATCAGAATACACTAGATGGTTCACAAAAACCTTGGAAGTGCCAGTTCGGGCCCCAGCCAATCAGCGAAGAGCGATATATTCTGTGTTGGTAATGATTCCCAAGGTCAAAGATTTAAAGCCGGAATAAAGAGAATGTTTGGTGAATTTTATTAAAGGGAAAGCCGTTATTGCCCTTCTAACTACGAGATTTTGGAAAAGCTTAATATACCAGTTAGCCCCATTAGCGGCGCATTACATATGTCACGACCAAATAGCAGCGATTGGTTAAATGAAATAAAAGTACCCGTCTACCGTCGAGTGAACAAATTGTAATGCTGCAAGGCCAGACAGTTTCTACGAAGTGAAACTGGCTGATGAATCAGGCTACCTATATCCTCCTAGGACTCAAACTCTTGCATAGCATGCTTTATTGATTTCTTGTTATTTGGGCTGACCGGGACCTGATGAGTGCAAAAACAAAGAATTATATTTTTGTTATATTTTGATGTTTATATGTCTACATAATATAAAACATGAATTTAATGTTTTAATCATTTTAATGGAACACAATAATGTCAGAGTTGAATACTGATTTGCAAAAACTATTAAGTGCTTGAACAACCCAAAATGTGTTGGACATGTACTGTATGTCCACATACGTACAGTAGTCACTAGGTCCTAGGAGGCTACTCACCCATTCACACACCAGTGTACGCAGACACTAGGGGCAAGACGGCTTAAGTGTCTTGCCCAAGGCCACAATGACAGCATTCGTCTGTAGGAGCTGGAATCACCCCAGCTAACATGTGGGTCAGAAGATCTGTTCACTCAACCAATGATGTTAATGTGAAGAGCGGGATTCGTACCGGCAATCTTCAACTCAGTGGAGGAACGTGCTACCAACTGAGCTACTGCCGCCCTGAAACTATGTTTGTTTCATTCACACATGTCTGAGCGATCCTTTGTTTTTAGTCTACATCAAGCTCTAAATGCTCTGTTCCACTTCATGATGTCATGTGGTGGTTTTCAAGTTATCAGGTCCTTTTACCTTTAGTTCAGTTCAGAGTTTAGCAACTTCCAGGGCTTAGTGAAGGTGTGTGGAGTTTAAAAACACAGGGGAACACTTCCTGTATAACCACATGACGTCACAAGTTGTTACAGAGTGTTTTCTATTTGAGAGAAGAACTCAGCCTAAATATACAGAGTGTCTGTGTTAAACATGAAACTCCAGGTTTGTGATGAGGAAACAACATTATAACCAGTGTTGGGAAGTTTACTTTTCAAAATGTATTCCCCTACAGATTACAGATTACATACTCCAAAATGTAGTTTGTAACATAATCCATTAAATTACTTAAAGTGAGTAACGTAATCTGAATACTTTGGATTACTTGATTTGCTGTAGAGAAACAAAGACGAGGAAATCGTAACATAAGATGTTTTGTTTTGTCTGATAAAAGAAAATAAAAAGCCCAGACTTTACTGAACCAAATTAAAACTATTATTGATAGAAGACGAGGAGACACATCCGCACAGCATGATTTAGTCCTGTTCAATCCTGCTTTAGTCCTGGTTTAGTCCTGGTTTAGACCTGGCTTTAGACCTGGTTTTAGTCCTGGTTTAGGCCTGGGTTAGTTCTGTTTTAGTCCTGGTTTAGGCCTGGGTTAGTTCTGTTTTAGTCCTGGTTTAATTCTGTTAAATCCTGTTAAATCCTGTTTTAGACCTGTTTTAGACCTGGTTTTAGTCCTGTTTTAGTTCTGTTTTGGTCCTGTTTTAGTCCTGGTTTAGTCCTGGTTTAGACCTGGTTTTAGACCTGGTTTTAGTCCTGGTTTAGTCCTGGTTTAGACCTGGTTTTAGACCTGTTTTAGATCTAGTTTAGATCTAGTGTAGACCTGGTTTTAGTCCTGGTTTAGTTCTGGTTTAGCTCTAGTTTAGACCAGGTTTAGTTTCCGGCAATGACTGGAATTGCCAGAAAAAAAAAAAAGAAAAAGAAAAAAAAAAGGTGGGGATATAGCCCAAAATGTGAAAAGAGGAAAATACCGCCGTTTAATTCCATTTATTTCAACAAAGTAACTGTAATCCAATTACCACTCACTGAAACAGTAACTGTAACTGAATACAGTTACTCATCATTTGTACTCTGATTACGTAACTCCGGTCCATGTAATCTGTTACTCCCCAACACTGATTATAACACAGATCAGAGAATAGAGTAATCATAAGAAAGATCTTTAATCGCGATGGTAACAGTCTGATTTTTTCATCTTTCAGAAACCCATGCATAACCCCCCCTCTCTCTCTCCGTGTGTTCTGCAGGTGGAGTGGATGAAGAACGATGAGCTGCTCCACCCCGACGAGAGCACCGACCTCCGCGCTGACCACAACCTCATCATCAGCCAGGCCCGTCTCTCCCACTCCGGAAACTACACCTGCCTCGCCTCCAACATCGTGGCCAAGAGACGCAGCGCAACAGCCGCAGTCATAGTCTTTGGTAAGGTCTCACTTTGTATCATAATATCAGCCAGCTCCTTTGAGTCTTGTGGGACTCAAAGTTGTCCTAAAGTAGTTTAGAAATGGTGAATAGTTGAAGGTTCTATAATGTGCAGAATCTTCTCAGGTTTAAGCCAAGTTGGAGTGTCGTTACCTTATCAAAAACATACCTGAAGTTGTGTTTTGTTTCATTCACACATTTGAGTAACACTTTTTTATGAGTGTGTCTACTCAGAATGGTCTGTTCCACCTCGTGATGTCATGAAGCAGTAGTTTTCAAGTTAAGAGCTACTCTTTACCTTTTGTTCAGTAAAAACGTATTTCTTATTTCGGTAACACTTTATAATAACTACACTTATTTAGCCTTAATAAAGCATGAACAAAGACTTGATAAATAATGATTCATGCTTAGTAACTACTTAATTACTACCTGAATTTAGCACTTAAGTTGCACTTAATTCACCTGTGCTGTAAATAGTAACTCAATACTTCTTAATTACTCATGAACTAACAATTTGTGTGTTTACAAATGCATATTTAAGTACACATTTGAGCATTTATTAATCATTAGTAAGCTATGAGAGAATGATTTACTAATAATACAATGCAATGATAATTCAGGCAGCTGTTATCTGTCCGTTAAGTCTTTCTGAGAGTTTTTCTAAAGTGAAGACTAATTATGTTTATTAAGCATTTGTTAAGGTTGGTCAAATTCCAGAGAAACAATGATGCATTACTAGTAAATCATTCTCTCATGGCTTAATAATCATTCATAAATGCTCAAATTTGTGCTTAAATATACATTTACAAATGCACACGCAAATGGTTAGTTCATGAGTAATTAAGTAAGAAATACTTATGAGTAACTATTTACAGCACAGGTGAATTAAGTGCAAGTTAAGTGCTAATTGGGGTAGTAATTAAGTAGTTACTAAGTGTGAATCATTATTAATTAAGTCTTTGTTCATGCTTTATTAAGGCTAAATAAGGTGTAGTTATTATAAAGTGTTACCCTTATTTCTTATTTTATTTATTTGTAAAGGGACAGTACATATTAATGAACATTAAAAATGTAAATATGTAAAGATTATAGCCAACGTGGCTAATTTCCATCTTCAGTCCCTCAGCAGGTTGATGTAAAATCATCTCCAGGACGAGGAAAAGTACAGCAACATTCACACAAAAGTACACAACACCAGCACACTCACTATACGTACAATTAGTTTCAAACAGTTCATTTGAAGTTCAAAGTCAGAAGTTTAAGAATTAAGTCAAGAGTTAAACCAACAACCCCTCAAAATAAAAGAAAATATAAATTGGTTAAACATTGTGACATATTTGACCATTGAGTAACCACTGTTTTAAAGCTTTAGAAAATGCTGCCAATGTTGAAAGCTCTCTTGCGATTTCAGGGTTGAAATCATTCCAGTGATTCTAGTGAAGGTGTATTGAGTTTAAAAACACAGTGGAGCACTTCCTGTATTACCTCATGACATCACCAGGTGGAACTCTGGAGATGTGGACAGAATAAGACCTTTAACATTCAAAATAGCCACAATTCTTCCTCCAAAGGCTTTCTAAGAACCACTGTCTGACTGTAAACTAAGTCTCCATCTTCATTAAAATTTGATATCTTGCCCAGCCTTACTGTCAAGAAAAAGTACCAAAGTTAAAATGACTTGAATTTGGAATAATAATGTTGAAAAGTGATTTTGACAAGTTTGTGTATTTGTTTACTTGTTAAGATTTTTTAGACATGCTTCAAAATATCTTTGATAATTTAAGCCAAATGATTTCCCAGTGGAGTAAATCATGTTTCAAATGAAATGTTCTTATTCCCCTAGCATGGTGTTGATTGAAATAACCAAAATAATTTGAAGTGAATAAATCAAAAAACAGAGGTGGTATTAAAAATGTCCAAAATGTTGATGATTGCCTGTTTATTCAAACCATTCAATATCATTATGCAGTAATACCACAACTTCCATGACCACAGTCACACAGACTCAAAAACTCTTTTACCAGTTTTCATGGCCAGAAAAATCGGATCTTTTGAGTAATCTGCAGTGCTGGGAAGGTGACTTTTCAAATGTATTCCCCTACAGATTACAGATTACATACCCCAAAATGTAGTTTGTAACGTAATCCATTAAATTACTTAAAGTGAGTAACGTAATCTGAATACTTTGGATTACTTGATTTGCTGTAGAGAAGCAAAGACGAGGAAATCTTCAGATAAGATGTTTTGTTTGCTAAAATAAAATAAAAAGCCCAGACTTTACTGACCCGTATTAAAAATATTATTGATAGAAGAAGAGGAGACACGGTCTGCACAGCATGATTTAGTCCTGTTAAATCCTGTTAGATCCTGGTTTAGATCCAGTTTAGACCTGGTTTTAGTCCTGGTTTAGTCCTGGTTTAGTCCTATTTAGACCTTGTTTAGACCTGGTTTAGATCTAGTTTAGACCTGGTTTTAGTCCTGGTTTAGACCTGGTTTTAGTCCTGGTTTAGTCCTGGTTTAGATCTAGTTTAGACCTGGTTTTAGTCCTGGTTTAGTCCTGGTTTAGACCTGGTTTAGATCTAGTTTAGACCTGGTTTTAATCCTGGTTTAGTCCTGGTTTAGACCTGGTTTAGATCTAGTTGAGACTTGGTTTAGATCTAGTTTAGACCTGGTTTTAGTCCTGCTTTAGTCCTGGTTTAGACCTGGTTTAGATCTAGTTTAGACCTGGTTTTAATCCTGGTTTAGTCCTGGTTTAGATCTAGTTGAGACTTGGTTTAGATCTAGTTTAGACCTGGTTTAGTTTCCGGCAATGAGTGGAATTACCAAAAAAAAAAAAAAAAGGGGGGATATAGCCCAAAATGTAAAAACAGGAAAATACCTCCGTGTAATCCATTTATTTCAACAAAGTAACTGTAATCCAATTACCACTCACTGAAACAGTAACTGTAACTGAATACAGTTACTCATAATTTGTACTCTGATTACCTAACTCCGGTACATGTAATCTGTTACTCCCCAACACTGGTAATCTGATATACTCGATATTTACCCATACCAGTAGTGATGCACCAACCCAAAGAAATGGGTTCATGTTGGGATTCAATCCAACCTAAACCCACAAACAGAAAAACTAATGTGTGAGCCATCGTATCTGCGGGGAAGCACTTTGGAAACGTGCGGTTTTGGGTGCGTAATGTGTTAAAAATCACACTTTGTTTTATTGTTTACACTCAAATACACTCTTTAGGAGTCGTTCGAAGCGGCTTACGCACTCACAGGATACAGTGCGGATAGAAGATTTTAGGAGTTTAGGACTAAAACCCCTGGATCTTGCAAGAGCGAGGAGTCCACCTGAGGCAGCGTGAGGAGCTTTGTCTTTGATCACACCGTACGATCTATGACCTGCCTCTTTCTCACTGGAACATTGTTTGCGTAGCTCAGTGCTTCTCAATTATTTTCTGTCACACCCAGGAAGAAGAAAACATTTCGCGACCCCCCACTCAAAATACAAATCCACTACCAAACTTGAACAAATCGCACCCTCACCTTCAGTCGCCTACGTACGAGAGTGAACATTTTAGTCGCGTCTCCAAAGAGGCTCCCGGGACACACACAGCATGTGTCCGTCCTCCTCGTCTTTGTCCGCGTTATAGTTTGAGGCAATTGCATCATCCAGCATGACAGAAACCATGTCTAATGCTGCAGCAGTATCAGCTCCTTTGCTCTTTGGTACGCCACCTAAGGCTACGTTTATATGATGACGGTCTGAACAGAAGACACAAAGGGGCATCACGACTTCACATTTCATTCCGCATTTAGACAAGCGTTTTCGGGAGGAAATCTGAGTGCATACGATGACGCAAAAGTGTGTGGAATTGGATTGGGTATGCATGCCAGGCAGCTCTGTGGAGACACTAGCGGGTGATGCATTTGACGTAAACTCATAGGTGATGTGAGCAAATCTGACCAGAGTTTGGCGTCTTGGGCAGTGTGGATTGAAACGCTACCGCAGAGCGTATTCCACTTTTCCACTCTGGAGGGTGGTTTGGGATTTTTGTGTTTTCAGATTTTTGCCTCAAAAACACCATCACTGACTAAACGAAAGGCACTTCTGATAAAATATTCTGTTGTTTTTACCCGCAAGCATTCTCGTGTAAACAGGCCCTTATATGAAACTAACAGTGCTCTCTGGTTTACTGAAGTGGCGTTCACAAAGTGGGATGATTGTTGGTGATATTCTGCACGTTTTCACAAAAAACAGCATGATTGGGGTGTAACGTCTTTAAGCAATTGTTATTTATTTGGCTTCATGTTGTCCACTGCCTCCATTTTGGGGTCAGCCTTATCATCAGAAGACCCTCTAGTCAGAAGAGCCTCTAGTCAGAAGAGCCTCTAGTCAGAAAATCCATGTTCAGGTAGTGTTACAAATTGTTGCAAATGAAATTGTATTTCAAGTTTTAAATATTTTAAAAAGTAAATATTAAAAGTAATAAATATATTAAACCCTTAAAATACAGCAAAAATGTTTGAGGAAATATTGATTTGGTGGAAATGTCTGTCTTAAGTGTAACAGGGTTAATAATTGTCTGATTTTCAGGCAACAACTTGGAAAAGGTTCAGTAATTCGAGGTCTACAACCTTCATTTCAATTTAATTTTAAATCTTTTTCTTTTAATATAGCATTGGTGGGTTTGTAAACCAACAAATTAAGTAATGCTGGCCTTAGCTAATGCTGTTATGCATGATTATCCATTTTCTTGTCAATATCTCTAAAAATGTTGATGTTGCAGCCATTTTTATTTGGTATACATCCAAAAGTTTACTAATTCTTTCCTGATATCCAGGGATTATTCCCTGTTGCTTTCATCAAATATACATTCAATTGTTCAACAGATATGTTGCTGACAAACCAATAGAAGAGGGAATGATTTTCTGACTAGTGGACCTTCTCACTACAGGGCCTTCTGACTAGTGGGCTTTCTGACTAGGGGGCCTTCTGATGATAAGGATGTAACCAACATTTTTGCACACAGTAAACACAACAGTCTTTCCTCGTTTCCCGCCGTAGTCACAGTGAAGCCGAGCGCTACATACACATTACATATAGTTTGTTCTCTGCACTTCACATCTCCTGCTCTGTGCTGTGAGTGCGTTTGCTCGGTGCAAAAACTCTAATAAACATTATCGCTCTAATACTCCCTGCACACACTCTGACAATGAGAGCGTCACTGCCAACTACTGTAGTGGATGTGCAATTACACTTTATTATGTTCCCCGAGGCTATAAAACTGTACTGACATTGCTTCTCTGTGCACACAGGAAACCATGCTTCTTTTTCTGTTTCCTGTTTTTCCCTATGTTTTTTCATTTGCCGTTAATTGCATAACGCCAAATAAAGCCGCCTTCTTTGTGCAGGTAACGACGTGTGAATAAAAAAAAAGTCCTCTGTCCTTGTTTGTTGATCAGCTACAGAACAGGCTTTAGCTGAGGCTTACGGTGCAGATGTTCACACCACATTAAGTTAAATTGGAGGAGAGTTCAGATCCGACCCACTTCACCCGCCGGACTTCTCCTCATTGAGTTTTCCAAACAAACCCCCTCGTCAACCGCAGTTTTTGTGACCGAAAACTGCATTTATTTGCTCAGTTAACTCGTGATAAATGATGTTATGTAACTGTTATTTATCCTTTAAATAACCATAGAGCTGCTTTGTATAAATAAAAGATAAAACATAAGCCAGTAAATAGTCTTATTACATCCGACTGAAGGCCCAATACCGGGATATCGGCTGAACAAATGCAGCTAATCCAGTTTTTTTTTTTGTTCTGTCTCGGCGTTTATATCCGATATCAGTATCTAAATGGCCCAACTTCAAATTCCAATAATACCCCAGTGTTAAATGAGCACACTGAACCTCGCCCTAACACAATGTTAACACACACTCCAATAGGGCTTTATTAGATTTCCTCGAGTCCTAATCAGTAGCCGCACGCCTCAGCCTCTGCCTTCTCTAAGCCATGTCTCCTCTTTATTTAGATCAATGTATTATTCAACAGGTCCATTTAGCTGCTCTCATTTACAATCACTGTGTACTTTATGAGAGCGAATGAGCCCCTGTGTCTTAATCCCATTTAAGAGCAGTGTTTGTTATTAAGTATTTATTTGCCCATGGCCCCTGCTGCTCGGCTCTGCTTTGCTCTGCTGTTCTCCGCTCGTGATACCGGCTCCAAAACATTTAATTTCGCTTCACGTCTGGACTCAGAACTCGGAGTAAATGGTCAGAGTCGTGGAGCTAAGTGGTGCAGTCCAGACCTGTCCGCTATCATGAGGTATAAGAGGTTTTAAGAGAGGGGTTTGCTGTTCTGAGGTTTAGGAGTTTTTGTGAGAGCAGATAAGATGAAATGAACTGGGAATCAAAAGACAATAAGGCGCGCAGGTTGTTTTAACACAGGCTGCAGCAGGGGAAGAAGTACTCCATTTTGTTACTGGACCAAAGAAACCTAAAGTAAAAATCTCACCAAAAAAAATCTACTAAAGTAAAAGTATTAAAGTACCTGTTTAAAATGTATTTAAAGTATTTTGCACAGATTTTGAGATCTAATAAAGCTTCAAATGTAGTGATTTTGATACAGATTTGTGCTGAATTTTATGTAACAGAAACAACTGAATTGTGTTAAACGGCCCATCTCATGCAAAATCAACTTTTCAGAGCTTTCTACCTTCTAAGAGTGATGTGTGGGCCTTTTATATGTGGCAGAAGTGTTTTTTAGATTGATTTGGTTTTTTTTTTTAACAAATTGCAGAGTATTTCTGCCACCCTCCCACGTGACAACGAACTAAAGCTGCTACAACGATGATGCGGCAGCTACACCTATGACACGTTTGACGCAGCAGAAAGCGCTTCGCACCCGCCCCCCTCCCCCACTCCACCTCGCCTCCGCCCCGCCTCCACCAGATTTTTCTCATGGAGCGCTATATAATCACAAACTGCTCGTGTTCATCTGACAGGTCACCTAGAGCTTTCAAAAATATCGGATTTGTTGGCTATTTTTTAGATCATAAACTTTTTCTCACTCAAAATCCTTCAGTTGTCTTAAAAAAAACGCTTTATATTTGTTAGCTCCGGCTCCGCTCTGCTCCACTCTAGCTTCTCTCGCTCTGATTGGTCAAAGCGATCACATTATACATGAGCCCGCGCTCCGTGCGTGTGGTCGCATGCATTCGCGTGTGCCCATGGGAGAAAAGAGCACTACTGCACATGCTCGGTCGGCCCACGGCCACCGGGAGTACCTAGCCATGCTAGGCTAATCTGGGATCATGCGCCATTGAGCTCGGCCCATTGACTTGAATGGGCGGCCATTTTGGAACTTGGGGGCTTGGCTGTATCTCCATGATGAATAAAAGTTTATTCTACCACTATCAGGGTGCACGTCTGTCTCCCCCTCCCTCCCTGAGATGGGCGGAGGAAGGGCGGCTCACTCATCGCCTACGTCACGTTTGGAGGGCGGAGCCTGTGCTTTGTGGGCGGGGGGATGAGCAATAGTCGACCTTACATAGTTCCTTGTCTGTGACTCCAAGAAATCAGTAAGATTTCAGAACTATTGTGTAATGGATGTTCCAAAACCCAAATTGTGCTTGTTTATGTGCAGAAGATACCATGTGAAAAGAGTTATTTTGCATGAGGTGGGCTCTTTAAAAATAAATCCCTAAGCCTTTCAGCTGTTATACAATAATAATAATAATTAAAAAAAAAAAAAAAATCAATTACTTTAACCTTTCAGCCCAGTTATACTATAAAATATAAAATAAAGTGGAGTAGAAAGTACAGATATCTGCTCTCAAATGTAGTGAAGTTAAAAAAAAAAAAACGGTACATTACTATTTTTACTTTGTTTATTGTTACTTTGTTTGATGATTGTCTGTTTTTTTTTTTTGTTTTTTTAAGTTATAAGATTCTTAAAATGTTATCTAAACTACAGAGTCTTATGATTTCTTTCACATCATGATCTCTCTGATTACTCGCATCAGATTTTGTAGTTTGCACGTCATTTAAGTGTCAAGTGAAGTAGTCCAGAAATCATATAACAGCTTGGATTTTGGTGTCCATGTAAACAAAGCCATGGCCAGGGCAGGTGACGATGACAATCTGATGTTTTTCTGTCCCCTGTGAATGTTTTCAATCATGCCCCTTTGAAAACAAGGAAATTCACAGGTGACCAGACTCATATCTTTGTAAGAAGTGTGTATTCTAGATCCAATACAAAAAGCAAACTATTGTTTAATAAAATATGTGGCGCATGATGAATATACAGTATTTTTTTTTAAACACAACAGAATTCAGGCACTCCAAAGAATAAAGATCGCACGAGGAAAAATATAGTTAAAAGGCCTTTATTTAGATGGCCAGAGCTGAAATGTTTTGAGCACCAATATATATACAGTATATTGTTAAACTGTTATGATCTGCTGTGTTAATGGTGTAATTGGTCCTGCACAATCGTTATGTAGTCATTAACATTTATGCTCATTTTGATGCTAATTGCTTCATCAATGAACTACTGTGCTAAACACTCGTCGAGTTGTTGCCAGTCGCTAAAAACACACCACTCTGAGCCACAGACATGGGCCTTTTCATGTGTGTATTATTTACCATGATCAGTCATCCAGTATTTTAATCATTTCTCCTTTTTACCAGCTCTGGTTAACCTGCAATAATAAGTTTTTATGGGTCCCCATCACATGCTCCTCGATCCAAATGACATCTGAAAATGTCCTGAAGTCCTCAGTAGCCCATAGGAGCAGAGGCGTGCAAACTTTTGCACGTGCTTTTACTCTTATTTACAGATCAGTTTTGTGACAGAAATAATACACCTAATTCTCAATGGTAAATCACACACAACACACACAAACTGCATTTGTTATTTTTTCAGTTTATACTCACTATTTAGTAGCCAGCCTGGCACCACCTAGTGCCTCCTCTCAATTTCATTTCTCTTCAGCGACTAGGTCAGGAATCAGGATTACCATATTTTCCGCACTATAGGGCGCGCTCTTAAGCCTCCAACCGCCCCACAATCCAGAGCTCCTTATACACGAATCTACTCAGGTGTCCCAGCACGACCTCAGTAAACTACAAAGCCGCACGCAAACACACATGGAGCAAACAACGACCGCACAGCGAAAAACACCCGCAGCCACACTCATCATTTCACGGAGACAAGGAATGGAACAGAGGAATGAACCGAAAAAGCAAGTAGAATGTGCCACTTCAAAACACAACTGAACAACTGAGTCATTACAAACACGCCAACAATCCGTTGGTCCCAGACAGCACCCTCCCTACACGCCACAACTGAACAAAGCCCAGAGTCACCGTGAACGCCACAAACAAACAAAACCACTCACCCATCACACTGTTGTGTTTCCTTTAAAGTTCCGTGCGGTTTATTTGTAAAAAAAATTAGAAAATAGACCGTTCTATGACAGTGCGTCTTATAATCCAGAGCGCCCTATAGTGTGGAAAATACAGTACACTAGACAGTTTGCAAGAACCCCAAAGTTGTAGACCATGCACCGGCCAATCAGCTGTGAGCTGTAAAGCCATGACGTCAAACTCATTGTGTCTGTCTGGGTCCTTTTTTGGTACAGCACAACAGTAAACAAAGCGTTGAGATGGATGTAGATGAAGACATACATTCTGTGTTGGCAACGATTCCCGAGATCAAGGATTTAAAGCTGGAACAAAGAAAATGTTTGGTGAATTTTATCAAGGGGAAAGACGCTATTGTTCTTCTTCCGACGGGACTTAGTGCATTACATACGTCACGACCAAATAGCAGAGATTGTTTAAATAAAATCCTAATGTGATGATGAATCAGACTAACTATTTAATGCATGGACTGAGAACTGAGGCCCTGAATGTTTAGAATAGAATCTAGTCTAGAAACTGAAAGAGTTATTTCCTCTCTCTTGTGCCTTTGTCCAGTGAACGGCGGCTGGTCACTGTGGACAGAGTGGTCGGCGTGCAATGTGCCGTGTGGGCGGGGCATACAGAAGAGGTCGAGGACGTGCACTAACCCCGCCCCCCTGAACGGTGGAGCCTTCTGTGAGGGCATGTCGGTGCAGAAGATCACCTGCAATGCTCTGTGTCCTGGTGAGTACAAAGTCATGAGCTGTGATGTCGAGTCGGCTCCATGTTTGTGTACAGTTTATAGGACAAAGGCATCATAACACAGCAGAGGGGTTTGAATGAACTATTACAGCTCTTAAACATGTGTTAGCTCACTCTTGGGGTGTTCTACATGTATCTCTATGGTGGAACATTCAGAAGTTGCCATGGAAAGTTTTAAGATTGTTTGAAACTTAAGGAAAAAATACAAAATGGATTTAAACAGCACTTTTTTTTTTTTTTTTTTCAAAATCATGTTAAGGTGTTTGCTTTTCAACTAAAAACTGTAACTTTATGTGCACAAACCTTTTTTAACTCCACAAATTGCACCTGTTGTTCCAGCTACGTCAGCTCTTTCTGGTCAGATTTTGTTACAATAAAGCTCAAACTGAGTCTAACAGAGCCTCAAACATAGCAGAGCCTCTAGTTAGCGTCACATTCCCAGTGAATGTTGATGACATCTGCATCAAAACAATCTGGGGGAAAAAATAACAAGGTTTTACTTGACAATGTATTCTAGTTATAATATTTTGATTAAAAAAATACTGGAATAAGTTAAATTAGAACACAAAGATAACTAAATAAATGATAAATTGAGTAGACCAATCGGGGGCAGTGGTCCAAAAGTTAGTCCTCACTTACCTTATGGGTCAGTGAATATGAAATCAGCCATTTTCAAGGAATCTCCCCTATGAGCCATCTCAGATTTGGCTGAAAAAAAAAATCAAAAAATTTCTGTAGAACAGAATAGAACAAACAGCAACACACTGAATAGGTATAATATGTTAATGTAAAATATGAACAGTTCTTCAGATAATTATAGCACAAACAACAGAACATAAGTTTTCCAAACTCTCCATCTCACTCCAAATCACTAAATCCAGTGAATTCTTTATCCTCAGTGTGACTTCTGTGCGACCTCCAGAGGTAAACCATAGATCCATGATGTAAACTTAGTGCCACTTCCTCTTCTGCTTAGCTGTCGTCAGACTCAGCATTAGTTACAGTTAGAGTTATTCCGGCCTTTCTGAATCAAGACAGGATGGTTTCAATCGTTATTTAAGTTTAGGCTTTGTCGATCCATCCAGTGACTTCCAGGAAAGTTGCATGGGGCATCCGCCCGGTTACCATGAAGCTGTGTTCTCCATCCCCGCTTTCTGCCAGTCCCTCACAAGTTTCTCACTCACTTCAAACTTTCTTTCTGCTGCTCGATTATCGTTTTCAGCTGAATATTTCACTACTTGCAGCAGCACAGCAGTCTTTTTCTACAAGAGACATGTGCAGTAGAGCGCGAAGTGACAGTGGTACAGGAGTAAAAGTAGTACTACATCCTGACACACAAGACTAGAGCGCCCTCCTGTGGCTGTCAGTCTGAAAATGTTGATATATTATTCGCACCAGAGTTTAAGTCACAGGAAACACCCAAACCATGAAAAAATCACAACTTATAGTCCAAAAAATGCAAGAGCCTAGACAGTATTTTCTGCAAATACAAGCAATCTTTCTGTGATATATTTTGCATTTCTGTTAAGAGTTAAACTGTAAAAATATCCATTTATGACCTTGTATGAACCTTATGCTAAATTAGTTTAAGTCCATGTATGTCCAGCCTTCTACAGTGAGCTTCTTCTCCAGTGTATAAATAAAGGGAAGTTCCTTTCAAAGACCTGTATGCGTCTGCAGTGTGGACCTTCACTATTCTGATCTCAGATAAAGGGCTTCTTTCAACTCTCCACCTGATCTGGAATTGCTTCATTCACGATTACAGATAAATAGAACGATAGATTCTTGGAAACCGTCTTGAGGTTTACTAAACAAAAAATACATCTTTCTAAACCAAAGTGAAGCTCTATTTTTGAGTGCACTGTTTGTCTCCTCCAAAGCTCCACCACGGAGAGAAACAGAAGTATTCCCGGGCCTGTTCCATGCTGCAGTTATCAGTGGTGACATTTGTGTGAGAAGATTCAAGTAAAATGTCAACAGCTCAGACAGGCTCCAGGAAATACTTTTAAATCTTCAATTAGACTTTTCACAACTCTCTTTTTTCCAATGCTCAAACTTGAGTAATGCTTCAAAACATGCACCTTGTGATGTCATTAGGTGATAGTCCTCTCTGTGTTTGGCATTAGACTAATTCTCCTAATGTCACATAATAGCACTTTTCAAGTAGGGTATTGTAGAATTGAACAGAATGGAATAGAGTTGTCTTTAGAGAGGGGGTGTTTTACTTCTATGGGGCATTAATAATATTCAGTTTATACATGCTAAGTCACTCCCCCTTCAGAGCGCTATCACAACACAATCAGTGTGCACTCCGTTAATAAAACTGCACATCCCATCAGGTTTATCAAGTTGTTATGTACAGTTTTGTGTATTTACGGAGGATTGTCGTGCGAGAGTGTGGGTGATGTAGACTTGTGGGCGGAGCATTGCACAGAATCATAGGTAACCATAAAGAAGGTTTAAACAGAGCATGGATGACATCTAAAACCTCTTCAGGCATGTTTTTTTTATTGAGGGAACAACATTATAACCAGGTAGAAAGCTCCAGAAAGTCTGATATGAATGGCCACTAGCTAAACCCCAGTGCTAGTGCAGCCTCTGCAGCTCAGTGAGGGAATTCAGGAGGTTCTGAGCTTTCACATGAGACGTGTCCGTATACTGAGAATGAGACAAAGCTGTATGTGTGCTCTATCTACAGGTTTAAGCTCTACACAGGTAACACAGGTTCAGTTGTGATTGTACCACTAACATGCACCTTTAAATGTGTAAATACAACATATAAATAAAAAAATATATATATATAAAACAGTGTCATTAACTTTCAGGTGGTACATGGACAAATGTTCAGTTTGTGGGTTTGCCTTATGTTTATTCTATACACTTTTTTTTTTTTTTTATCCAGTGGAAATGATGTAGTCCACTTTTAGACCTGGTTTAGCCCTAAATTAGACCTGGTATAGTCCTGTTATAGACCTGGTTTAGATCTGGTTGTACTTGGAAAGTCTAATCTTTTCTTTGGTGGTACTTGGGGCGACAGTAGCTCAGTTGGTGGAGCGTTTGTCTGTTGATCCGAAGGTTGGCAGTTTGAATCCCGCTCTCGGTTGAGCAGTCAGATCCACTAACCCGCAGGTTGGTTAGGGTTAGTGATTCCAGCTCCCACAGATAAATGATGTTGTTGTATCCTTGGGCAAGACACTTAACCTGTCTCGCCCTAGAGCCTATGTACACTGGTGTGTGAATGTGTGTGTGAATGGGAGACGTAAAGTACTATAACAGACATGTCAAACTCAGGCCCAGGGACCAAATTTGGCCATGAGATAATACCAAATATGTATATGAGCTGGCCCACCGGCTACAGAAACATGCAGATGTTGTTGACAATTGTTTCAATAAATATTCAGGCCCTGTCCACACTAGTATGTATCTGAGTCGTTTTCGTTGCAGTGTTCGTCCACACTAATCCGATTGAAATCTGAGTACCGGTCTGATCCGGCACTGTGTGGACGCCTGAAAACGCTGATACGCTGATGTAGTTCTATGCACTGTGAAGTAGCTAATTCACTCACAGAACAGATTCACCATCAGCAGAACACCCCTCTGTCACAGAAAGAACACTCATATTCCCCTGAGTCGTGTCCATTAGTCCGACAGATCCTGAACCACATCAGCGCACAATAACAAGCTGTTTTGAGAGCTCAGTTTATGCAAATTAGCCATGCTGTTTTAAGTTTTGTTTCTGTAAAACGTAAAGACTCATGCTCAAAGCTGTGTGGATAGGAAAGGATTGGGAAGGACACCGAAACAACGTGTGTGGACACAGATCGTTTCCGATAAGGTGATACGGTGATATGTGGATTCGTTTCAGTGTAAACGGGGTCTCAGTTTGGCCCACGGCTTAGTCACAGTTTTTAAATTCGGCTCTCTGTGAATTTGAGTTTGACACAAAACTGACCAAGAAGGAGGAAAATCGCTTTATAAAAATGTGACCATTGACCATTGGTGAAAAGTATGAAAACCACTAATAGTATTTGTGTGTTTTGTGTGTTGTTTTCCTTCCATACACTTTTATACTGTTATATTATACTAAATAGGACTTAAGCTGTACAGAATAGCAGAATACTACTACTACTACTATTAGTAGTAGTAATACTGCTACCACTAATAATAATAGCAAGAACATACAAGGAGCTGCATTCACCCCATAATGCAAACACTGGCTTCATTATGCAAACAAAACCATGTTAAAGAGAGAAAAGACACAAATCCAAACTTCTTAAAGCTTCAGATAACAGACATCTGCCCCTGATACAAACAAACAGGAGCCGGTGTGTGCGATGTGAGAAGGTTAAGGGCTTATTCTGCACAAGTGGAGATTATGTGGCGGTGCCGTGGTGTACACAGCGTATGGGCCAATCAAAACACTCACAGTCTCCTCTATCTGAGCGCTATCCTGAGGGGACCCAAGCAGACACCACACACTGAATTATAGTGGATTTGTACACTGGCATTTTGGAGGAAGTAGTGGGATTTAGTTGTTTGGATGTGGCTACACGAAGGTTTAAGGAGCAGGTTGTTTTAGGAGATGGAGTGTTTGTGATTGTGGTAAGTTGGGGTCCTCACTTAAAGATAAAATATATATTTGGTGAGGCAGACGGAGTGATGCGGGGTACGTAGCGGGAATTTTTGTTTGGATTTGACACCAAGTAATACTATAGTAAGCGTCTCGAGGATTGAAACATCTCGACTATAACATTTTGTAGCTTTCCTCCAACTTTTAGCTCGAACTGATTTGAAAATTAAATGTATGTGTGGATAAAACGTAATTGATAAAAACAAAGACTAAAATTTAATCAGTAAACTTCATTTTTTGAAAGATCTTAAAGAGAAGGTATTAAACTACTTTATTTTGTTTAGCTTTCCACCATGTTATGCTGCTGTTTCTTCTTCAAAAACACGCCTGAAGAGGTTTCAAATGTTTTCCA